GCTGAAGTTTCATCCCTAGAGCCTGCGACCTTGCACCCCGTGCCCGTGTGATCTCCTCTCCAAGGGGGATGCCCTTGCTAAGTCATGTCTGAACAGGGCCGTGATCAAACACAGAGGCTGCCCTTGGAACCCGAAGCCCAGGCCCCGTGGAGCTCCTTGCCTTCTTTGGACTCTGGTTCCTCGCCGCAGCCTCAGAGAGGGAGGCTCCACAGAGTATAATCCTCACCTGGCTTCCCTCTCCCTGGGCTTCCCGTCTGGATCATTACAAACGCTGAACACCGTTGTGAAGAACGGGAATATTCCCTAACACCTGTACTTAGAACAGGCCGACTGTTATCACATGGGTTTAAATCAGGAAAGGTGTGCATCAGGGCTGTATCCTTCCAGCATTCTTATTCCATCTCTATACTGAGCAGATAATCCATGAAGCTGAGCTATACGAGGAAGGACAAGGCATCAGGATTGGAGGGAGGCTTACTCACAACTTGTGATACGCAGATGATACAACCCTGCCTGCTGAAAGTGAAGAAGTCATGAGGGATTTACTGATAAAGATGAGAAATCTCAGCCTTCGGTCTGGATGACGCCTCAACACACAGAAAACAAGTATCCTTGCCATCGAATCAATAAGCAACATCATCACAGACAGAGAAAAGATGGAAGTTGTCAAAGATTCCATTGTCTTGGGATCCAGGCCCATGGAAGCAGCGGTCAAGAAATCAAGCGACCTATTGCATCTGGCAGATCAGCAGCAAAAGACCTCGTAGAAAGTGTTAAAAATCCACATGTCGCTTGGACAGTAAGTATGCTGACCCGAGCGGTGGTATTTCCAGGCACCCATGAAGACGGGATGGCATCTTCAGCAGCATGTGAAAGCTGGGCGATGAAGAAAGAAGGGCGGATGCATTTGAACCGTGGTGTTGGCAACGAATATCGAATAGACCGTGGGCTTCCGGAAGAACCAGCAAAGCTTTCTCGGCAGAAGTACAACCAGAATCTTCCCAGACGTTCCCAGAAGGACGGCAAGACTTGGTCTCTTTGGACATGCTATCGGGTCTGCTGTCAATCTGTGATAGGCAGATGATCGAACCCTGCTTGCTGATTGTGAGGAAGATGTCAAACAGCGCCTGACACTGGGTAAATGTGCTTCACAAGACCTCTCTGACGTGTCGAAAGCAAGGGTGTTAGTTTGAGGACTAAGGTGCGCCCAACCCAAGCAGCTGGGATATTTTCAATCACTTCATAGGCATATGGAAGGTGGGCATTGGACGAGGAAGACCCAAGAAGAATGGATGCATTTGGATGGTGGTGCTGGCCGAGAACATTGGCGGTAGGACGGCCTGCCAGAAGAACCAACCTTCTGAATTGGAAGAAGGACAGCTAATCACTTTAGAGGCAAGGATAGCAAGGCTTCATCACATGTATTTTGGACATGTGGTCAGGAGACTGGTCCCTGGAGAAGGACATCAAGCCCTGAAAAGAGGAAGGTCCTTGACAAGACAGGGTGACAGCATGGCTACCACCAGGGGCTCAAACATCAGATAATCGTGAGGACATGCAGGACCGGGCAGTGTTTCCTTCTGTCGTGCACAAGGTCCCTATGCATGGGACCCGACTCAAAGGGCCCTAACAACATCATCAGCAAGTTTGGTAAAGAGAAAGGACTTCATGTTGGTGGGGGGGCAGATCCATCTCATTGACGGTCAAAGAAAACGAGGCAGCCCTTCAAGGAGACGGAGTAACAGGATGGTCCCACAATGAGCTGACGCATAGCCATGAGCGTGAAGATGGCACGAGACGGGCAGGCTTCACTCTGCTTAACTCGTGCCAATAGGAGTTGGAGCGGACACAGCAGCACCTAACAGCACAACACGGTGCCCCACCGCCTTGTTCCATCCTGGTCCTTACCACGTCCTTGGAATGCCGTGGGTGAGAATCAGTGCCATGTAGTAAATTACCATTGCTCTTCTAGCCACACCCTGGGGTGAAAGGCGAGGCTTTCTACTCCCCTAGAGAATTGCAGTCTGGGGAACTGAAGGGGCAGCCCTACCCGGTACTGGAAGGTGGCGGGGCTCCGTGGCAATGAGTTTCCCAGAGCCACAGCCTTTAGTCTTTGTAGCCTCCACAAAACCACTTTTCCTGGTGGGTCTGGGTAAGCGAAGGTGGGGAAGATGCTGATTGGATTCAGTTGGGAATGATTGTTCACAGGGTTCACTGTGATTGACAACGCTTGGAACTCGAACATGAGCATGGGCCACTTTCGCCATCTTGCTGGGTATAAAATGAACCATCGCAGAACTGGCGGGGAGGTGGTAGCTGTCAGTCATACGACCATTCTAGAAGCATCGGGAGTGGAGCACATCCTTTGGACCCTGAGATTCCCGTGCAGTGAACCTCCTAGATCCGGAGCCTAAGCTGTTGTATCACAGGGTTGGTAGAGGAGTGGCGGCGGCAGAGCCACAGCGGGAGACAGAGGGAGGGATACCCAGCCCAGGGAGTGCGCACAGCTGAATGCCTTCGAGTAGGAGCCTCACCTGTGGACTGAGGCACCTCCAGGCACTCAAGTGGGAAGCCTGGTTTGCTGGCCCACAGAGCTAGAGCCAGTGCCTCCAGGGTGGGGCTTACAGTAGGGTAGGGCGCCCTTTGGGCATTGCTCAGGATCAAAGGAGACTTCTAACATCGCCAAGAAGGGCAGAGGCCAAGGGGCCGTGTGACTGAGAAGCTGAGGACCAGAGAGAGGCCTGTCTGCTCCAGACCTATCCTAAGCATTTCTGATCCTAAAATGCAACCTGTCCACCACTCTCATCAGCCCCCTAATCATGAGTATTGTCTGGGAGACACCCCTCATCACATGTAGGGACCAGAGATGTGTCTGACCCCAGCCGGAGGGCAGCTGATTGGCCGTGGACAGTAACTCTCCCCCTCCCCACTTGGGGAACCAGAGGAGGCCAGGTGCCGCCCCCACGCTATTTGTTAACACCAGGTCCCTGATTGCCAGGTGAGCTCCATGATCTCGTGATGCCTCAACTTGAAAACTGGTGTCCTTGGTGCATCGATGCAGGGAAAGAGAGGAGCCGGAGAGGGAGGCCAGGCTGTCCCTCCCCAGAAACCTTCGGAGTATTACTACAGAGCCCTTTCCATAGAGAGCTGACACAGAGACTTATGGACTTTGGTTGGCTGTGTGCCCCAAGAGGAGGCTGGAAGCCAAGGCTGGACTGAAGGGGAAGAGGCTGAAGGACCTGGGAGTCGGGTCAGTGAGCCCCGAGTGGCCCTGGGGCAGCAGGTGTGGCCGTTCCAGAGACTCAGGCTCAGCCCCCTGGAGGCGGGGCCTGCAGACCAGAGCAAGGTCTGAGAAAGAGAGGTCTGAGAGCAGGACCCCAGACAGGGCGAGGGCATGTGGCAGTACCTGGTGGGCCCTCTGGGGAGTCTGGGGCCCAAAGAGGCTGGCACGCTTCACACAGACAGCACAGCATGGAGCCCGAGGGGGAAGGAAGCTGTTTTCCTGCTTGTGTGGCAAGGGACAGCTTGGTGTTTGAAGGGCTGTTCTGTTGGTGTTTGCGTTCCTCTTCAGGGTGCAGGAAGCCTCCGACCCCTGGCTAGAGGGCGGGCAGGGTCTGATGGGGCAGCCGCTTCATTCCACATCTTTCTCCTGTGCCCAGTGGATCCTGGATGTCCATCTGCCCCATGGGCTTGTCCAAACCAGGGGTCGGCAAACTTGTGAGATAAAAGAGCCAATCCTTCCTGTCACACAATTTTAAAAATGATTCAAAGCCATAAAGATATCTTTACAAACACATGAAATCCCCATTGTTTGAGTAACACCCTTTGAAATGTTTCCGTTGTACTCCAGAGCCACGGGTATGCACAGAAAGTGCTGCAGTTGGCTGACACCCTGGTCTGGGCTGTCTTCTTTCCAGGAGCAAGTCACCAGATCTCTCCTCCTCAGAGCCGCCGGGTGGGCCGACCTTTCAGTTAGTAGCTGTGTTAGTCTGGGTAGACTAGAAAAACAAATTCATAGGCACTTATGTGTATATGAAAGAGCTTTATATCAAAGAATAATTGCATATTAAGAAAGCATCCCAGCCCAGTCCAGATCAAGTCCAGAAGTCTGCTATTAGCCTATATGTCCAATACCAGTCTGTAAATTCCTCTTCAGATTCACACAACACATGCAATGCTGCCGAATGCAGGAAGATCACAGGCCAGGGGGTGGAAAGTCTTGTGGATCCAGTGGCGGTGGAAGCAGTTCAGTGCTGGCGTGGGTCTCCACATGGCTCCTCCAGCTCCAGGGCTCTAGTGTAGCTCCATGTGTCTTGCCTGAAGGAATGTCTCACAGGGAAGGAGCGTGTGTCCCACCTCCAATGAGCTATTTATTCCCGTAGCACCTTCAAATGAGGTCTTCCAGCTGTGGCCTGATTGACAGGCTACACTCCACTGTTAAGCCTTAAGTTGGCAACAGATGCTGTAACTACCACAGTCGCAGATCGCTGAACTTTGGCACCACCAGGGCTCCTGAAACACGCTGCCCCGTCACATCAGGACACGGTGGAGGTCAGAGTCATTCCCTGCGAGCACCGTGGTCCTCTGCTTCTACTGGCCCGTCTCCATGGCTGTGGGCAGAGGGCGGCGGGGCCGGTCCAGCTGTCAGATGCGAGGTTCCCTCAGTGGGCCCTGTTGGCTTGTGTTCTCTCAGAGGTCTCGGCAGGGCCCAGGCATCCCTCACTGACCTCCCTGTGGTAGGGCCATCTGTCTAACCCTCAGGGCCCCCAGCATGCATGTGACTCTCGTCTCTGTGCAGCCGTGGGTGTGCAGGGCTTCTGCCTGCAGCTGCTTCCTCTGTGGGGACAGGGGACTGGCCAGCTCTGGGTCCTGTCCATCCAGATGGGCTCCCGCCCATCACCCCTGAGGGGCATGTCAGTGTCCCAGCCTGAGTCACAGCTGCTCCGGGACCTCTGAAGGGCAGGGACCCAGAAACACACCTGCTCTCACTCTCCCCACAGCGGAAGTCTACATCGGCATCGGAAAGCCGGCGGAAGCCACAGCTTGCACCCAGGAAGCTGCCAACCTCTTCCCCATGTCCCACAACGTCCTGTACATGCGCGGCCAGGTGGCCGAGCTCCGCGGAAACATCGACGAGGCCCGGCGGTGGTACGAAGAAGCCTTATCCATCAGCCCCACCCACGTCAAGAGCATGCAGCGACTGGTGAGTCCGAGAGTTCAGGCCTCGAGCCCTGCTCTGCCCCCAAAGGCAGGTGGGCGTTGCTGGCCAGGCACCCACATTGCACAAAGCCCGCGGGCACTCGTCCCAGTGTTGCTCTGTGCAGGGGTCATTCCCAGAGGCTGGCAGCTCACTGTCCGGGCAGCCCCGCCCGGCGGTCTCGCAGGTGCTCTGGGTCGTTGGAGTTTGTGGCTTCCCAGCCAGCTGGCCACACCGCCCTGTGGTTCTGGGTCTGACCGGAAGGCAGGTTTGTCTGCTCATCTCTGCACTGCTTACAGCAGCCTCCTTAAGCAGTCGCCCGCCTCACGGTGGGGGACATGGTGGGGAGAGGGGTGACTTCAGTGTAAAGTGACCACACTATAGACTCCCAGCTTGTCTCCCAGGCCACTGGTTGGAAAGGACACTCTTCCGAGGTAGGATGGGCTGGCCAGCAGTGGGCCACGGACACACATGTAAGTCACCCAGTTTCATGCCACACACAGGCAGTGTCTGATTACACAGTAAGAGAGATAAGCGCGGGCTGACTTGTGCTTACATACCAGTCTCTGGTGAGCACATTCCCGTGTTCCCGCCGCATCAAAGCTTCCGCCTGCCGGCCTGGCTAGCAGGCAGGCATCCGTCTCTCTCCCAGCCCCCCCCAGCCCCATCCCACAGGATCAAAGCCTCTTTCGAGTTCACAGTCTCTGACTAGGAACAGAGGAGCCCTGGTGGCACAGTGGTTAACACGTTGGGTTTCGATCCACAAGGTCTGCAGTTCAGAACCACCAGCCCCCTGGGAGGGAGAAAGATGGGCTTTCTCGTCCTGTAAACAGTTACAGCCGCAGAAAATCACAGGGGCAGCTCACAGAGCTGTGAGTCTGCTCAGGCTCAATGGCAATGGCAATGACAATGGCAATGGGTTTGGGTTTGGCCCAGGAACAAAGTACCCATTAAGCAAGGTAAGCCCCGCTGGCTTGTGCTTACCCACTCATCTGTAGCCAACTGTTCTACTGCAGATGAGTGAGTAAGCACAGCTCTGCCCATGTTTGCCTTGTTCACTGGGTAATTTGCCCCGCACATGGGTGTGGGAGCCTGTCCTTCCCCCTGACCCCTCCCGGGGCTCAGGCCAGAGCTGCCCTGTCGCCCTTGCCTGAAGTGGGCCACCCATCCCTCTGTGCCTCAGGAAGGCACTGTCCTCAGGGGAGGGGGCTTATCATTGGGAGCACCTGTGCCTGGAGCTGCCCCACACCCAGAGCCTCCACCTGCTGCTCTCTCCTCACGGGGGTCTGAAGTGAGACCCAGGAGGTAGCAGGGTGCCAGGCCCATGAAAAGCCTCGGCGCTCTCTGTGGGCCTGCGGGCCGGCCTCTCCACTGGCCTTTATTTCATTCCTAGCAGCCGGACCTCTCCGGCTGAATGGGGCAGAGGGAAGGAAGCTTGTTTTAAGCTACAGGTGGGGCCCAGTGGCCTGAGAGAAAGCACCCTCAGGGTAGCTGCATCCCCCGTCCCCATGGAGTCCATCCCTTGTTCCTTCCCTGTTCACCTGAACTTCAGAAAGGCCCGACTCCCCACCCCTCTGCCTCCTCTCTGTAAAATGAAGGCCCCGCCGTGGACTCCGCAGGCTGTGAGCTTCTGCCCAGCGCCCAGAGGACGTGGTTTTGTAACTAATGAGCGAAATGTTCTCCAGAGGCGCCCAAAGCCTTCGCTATCTTGACGCTTCTCACCGTCACGTGGCCCGCTGCCGAAGGGGCTGAACTGTTACCGCTGGCTGTCGGTGGCCCACGGAAGGCTGAGCAGTAGGCACCGTGGCTTGAGTCTGATAGCTTATGTTCAGCCCAGCCCCACCTCCGGGACATCCTGGCCTTGACCCTTAGCCTCTGGAAGCCTCGGTGTGGCCAGAGCTGGAAGGAAGTGGTGTGGTCGGCAAGAAAGGATTTCCTTAACAAGTGTGGGCACCGCTCCTGCCCACTCCTTGAGGCCGAACCCACAGCCCCCAGCTGGTCAGTGCTGACTCCCAGTGAGCCTGGAGGACAGCAGAACCAGAGACCCCACAAGGTCTCCATGAGGTAGCCATAGCAGAAGCTGGCCGCCACATCTTCCTCCAGCAGGTAGAGCAGCCGGCCGATTCGAACCACCAACCTTTGGGTTAGTAGGCGAGCGCTTAACTGTCCCTCGCCATGGCCCATAGGACCTGGGATTTTATCAGCCAAGTTGCAAAGCAGTAGCCACTGAGCCAGTTCCAACTCAGGGGACCCCACGTCTGTCAAGGCGGAGCTGGGCTTCCCAAGGGGGGGGGGGCAGTGGATCGTGAAAAGTGCGTGGCAAACCCGACCCGAACCATGAACTCCATCTCCTACTAACTGCAACCACCTCTTTTTCTCGAGTTCTCTCCACGAATGTGCTGTGGCTCCCTCCCGCCTTACAAATAATTTTACGGATGGTCGAAACATTTGTCTGATTAAAAACACCGCAGGGCTTTGCGTTCTGGTCTCGCTGCTGCCAGGATCCGAGGGGAGCTGCAGCAGAGGGCTGAGTGTAAGCAGCACCATGTAGCCGGCTCTTGTGCTGAAAAGAGGCAGGGTTTGTCAACCCCGGGGCTATGAATTATTCAGAGAAGTATTGCTTCTTCGTCCCCAGAGGGGACACATGAGACACAAGATCAAGTCGGAAAATCACACAGGGAGAGTTTTCCGTTTCACCTTTCGAGTTCTTGAAGACACCTGAGCTCCCTGACAAATGCCAGGTGTCTTTCTCCCTGGGAGAGGCAGGCGGTGGCTGGCAGGCCCAGGTCAGAAAAGCCAGCAGGGGGTGGGGGCTGCGGAGGGAGGCCGCCGTGCCTGAGGACCCTGTTAGCAGCAACCTTGCGGGGGGTGGGGGGGTGGGGGGGGTGGTCTTCCCAGTAGACCATGATCATCATGAAAATACCTCTAATCATGATGCCCCATAAACATACACTTTGCTCAGCACAGCACGTGGGTCATTTCTGACTCCCGGCCACTCCTCCTGACCACGTTTTGCGTTTTGCTCAGCACAGCACGTGGGTCATTTCTGACTCCTGGCTACCTCTCCTGACCACGTTTTGCTCAGCACAGCACGTGGGTCATTTCTGACTCCCGGCTACCCCTCCTGACCACGTTTTGCTCAGCACAGCACGTGGGTCATTTCTGACTCCCGGCCACCCCTCCTGACCACGTTTTCCAGGATGTGACCTTCTCCCACGACAGTCCACAACCCCTCCGTTAGCCGCTCAGCACCTCACCATGGCGCCACCTCCCACCCACTGCCATCCGTAGGCAGGGTGAGAGAAGCAAGGCCGCCATGTGGGGGAGCAGAGATCCTTCCCATCAGATCACCATCAGCTGTGGTCAGGGAGCTCTCAGAGGGCTCTTCTCGGGGTCCTAGAAGTAACTCTCTTCCCCCGAAGCCCTCTGGTGCCCTAGGACCTTCTGCTGTGTGTGGAGGAGGTGGCCCTGAGACAACACAGTCTCTCGCTCTCACTCTCATGATCACACAGGCTGGTGTGCTTCTTCCATGTGGGCTTTGTTGCTTCTCTGCTAGATGGCTGCTTATTTATCTTCAAGCCTTTAAGACCCCAGACGCTACATCTTTTGATAGCCGGACACCATCAGCTTTCTTCACCACATTTGCTTATGCACCCGCTTTGTCTTCAGCGAGCGTGTCAGGGAAGGTGAGCATCATGGAATGCCAGGTTATTAGAACAAAGTGTTCTTGCATTGAGGGAGTGCTTGGGTAGAAACCCAATGTCCATCTGCTACCTTAATACTTAAATATATGTACATAGATCTATTTCCCTATTGTTATATAAAAACATATTTACCTGTATTTAGACCTCTATAAATGTTCTTTGCCTCCTAGTTCTTTCTTCTATTTCCTTTTACTAGGAAAGTATATTTTTGCCCCAGGGAAGTGTATTTTACGTGCCCCTCCTCCTGTTTCTCATGTAGATTGGTGGCCCATGCCTCCTTTCCCCTCTCTCTCTCCCCCCTCCTTCCCTCCTCAAGCTCCCTGGGGGAGTTGTGCCTTCGAGGCCTGGGCAGGAGGAAGGGGCCCACGTGGCACAATGGTGGCAGCGGCTGGCTGCTGAGTGACAAGCTGGCACCCCAGTCACTCCCGCAGGAGAGAGACATGGCAGTCCGCTTCCATAAAGATGGCAGCCGTGGAGACCCTGTGTGGTGGCTCTGCCCTCCGGCCTCCCTGCTCGGAGTCTGAATCCGCTGGCAGCAGTGGGTTGGGTTGGGTTGGGTTGGGTTGGTCAGAAGAAAGGGGTCGGGTGGCATTCGCAGTACAGATGCACAGAACGAGGAGCCTGGCTGGAATCGCCCCTCCCTTGCTGGCTTTGGCACTGGACCAAGTTACTCAACCTTTTCATGCCTCCATTTCCTCTGCTGTCTACACGGGCTAATATCAGCACCAGTAAGTGTCAGACACCAGATCTGAAATGTCTTGTTGATTCACCAAAGGAGCCTCATGGAAAGCAGACCAGGGCGCCATCCCCGAGTCAAGAGGAAAGGGTGGATGGGGAGATCCCAAGCCTCTTTCGACCACTCTGAGTCTCTGGAGAAAGGCAAGGGTTCTCGACCCAAGTGGCAGAGGGAGGCTGAGACAGAGGTGGCATGGGCACTGAGGGAAGCCCGCCTCAGGCCGGGGCAAGGGCAGAGTCAGAAGGCCAAGACCTCCAGAGGCCACCGTAGAAGCAGCCCCCAGTGGGTGGGAGGGTGTGGGCTGTGGGAAAGAATAGGAACTGGAATGTGAGCCGGGGGCAGCCAGCAAGTGCTCAGGACGGGCAAGGCCAGCAGGAAGGCTGTTGGGCGGAAGGGAGGGACACCATACTGCATATCTCAGGTAGAGGCCAAGGTGGCGGGCGGTGCCTGAGGACCGTTCACAGCCTGGAGCTGGTGCCCGTTGTGTGAAAAACAGCGACTTGTCAGCTCTCAGGTTAGAGTTGCCATGCCTACCAGGTTATCTGACCCCGATGATGAGGAAGCTG